GGCCTTTTTTTTGGTTCCTCCTTTGTGGGGAGGGGGGGGGCGCAGGTTAGACTAAAGTCTTGTCAGAGCTGTGTAAGTGCACTTAGACATTTTCAGAATGTTTGTTTGTTTTTTGGCCACAGGTTGCCACGATTGTTTGAAGCATTTTTATTTCCATGTCTTCCTGTGTTGGCGATTCTAAATAAAAACAGTATTTATATATCAGTGCGGTTGGAACTACGATACCGTGATGTGCACGTTTCGGAGGATGTGCGCGTGTAGACTGGTCACTGATGACGGATAGACTTAGAGCTCTTCTTGTGCCAACCTATACAGTCAGTTGATGGGTGAAACCCCAGTAAGCACTTTGTGTTGTATATTTCTGGCTTGGTCCTTTATGAATAGACAGCTCACACATTTCTGTTCAATATAACCCCAGAATATGTAGAGTCAAGAAGGCGATGTGATCTCATTGTCCCTAACGAAGCTTTGGACTCAACTCTCTGGCTTTGTTTACACCCGTCAATTTTAATACAAAATGTATCCTCTGACATCGCGACAAATAATCTGATCTATTGTCTACTGTTGTCGGACACGGGGCAAAGTGAGGACAGCATTCTTAAGCGCAATCTTAACAAACTGATTGTTACGTCAGAGCTGCAAACCAGGGTCAGCCAAATCACGAACCAAGCAGGCAGAAACAATTAATCTAGCTCTGTAGATCAATAAAACCTCCATAGCTGTCGCATTTAAATGTAAGGCTAGGCTAACTGCCCCCCCTCCCCGCTTCCAGTCTTTGTTCTAAGCTAAGCTAAGATACACATGTCCTGGACCTACGTACCTCGTGACACTGATAATGTCTTCTCACACTCGGGGGGGGGGGGGGGGGGGTACTGTGCGCGGACACATCACTGTGATCAGATTTATTAATTGGATCTGTCACATTTGGTGAGACTGGAAACAAGTGTAGCCACTGTCAATGGAAAAGCTAAAAAAACAAATGTTTAAAAGCTCTTGTTCTGTTAATATGAATTGGAATATGAACTGTGAAAGTATCCCCCCCTCTCAATAGGCAGATCTTTGGTTGATAGTTGAGTTGAAATGGCTGTACTTTTAAGGACTTGAGTTATATCTGCATGATGTTCTTGCTCACACACTCAACTCACTGGTTTAATTTTAATTTTTTAAACAAAACTGGGTCTTGTTTGGTAGTTTTGGCCATGATTCTTTTCAACACAAGTTGTCAGAATAATTTAAAACCACTTATTTGAAAGTGAAAACGAAGTGGACACACCTGAAATGCCCTTTTCACTGTCCTTTGCACTGCACACTAAAGCTAGTGAATGTTTACCGTGCACTGTGTGTAATCTCCTTTTTAAAGGACATACCCCATTTAATAAAAATCATGTATACACACACTTTTGCAAACCACATGCCGCATTCACTGGGCTCCAGTCATTTCAGTACAATATGAAAATCAGTTAGCAGAAACTTGATTGACTTTTGTAAACCCATCACACTGAACATCAAGGCTGCAGTGCTTTTTGTTAGATTATCATTCTGATGTAATGCAGAGTAGACTTTTCAAGCCAGGCTTTACTTTACAAATCACTGCAGATTTGATGTTCAATGTGATGGATTACACAACTCAAGCATATTTCAAGAGTCTGCTTATAGATTTTCATATAGGATGTAAACGAATAAAGGCCCGTGGCTACCTTGAACGGTTAGAAATACATGTATAGCATGTATTTGAACATTTAAAAAAATCTTAAGTATACACATGTAAACACACTGGTCCTTAATATGCATTTACCTTTTCTTTAACTTCCAAATAAGTGGTTGAGATCATCTGGGTAAACAACTGTGGGGGGGCATGCACACTGTTGTAAAGCGTTTTCCCCTCATCTTTAAATTTGGTATTTCACGGTGTAGCATTTGCGTCAAGGAGCTTTCAACCACATCTCGTGGGCTTAATCAGTAAATGGAGCTGGCTCAGGTGTCGTCACGTGACCTATGTGTGGTACTTAAGTATGTCAGGAGGGTCGGGCTGGCAACCTCTGTCTCTGTTTAAAGAGGGCGTTTGGCGTCAAGCACCATCAAGACACCAGAAACGGTCTGTGAACACCAAACCACTCACAGCATCCACTAGGAAGAGGTCAGAGGTCATGGACCAGGAGGCAGTGGATGAGCATGGAAAGACCATCTTTGAACAGAGACCAGGGTTACCATCTCTCACCAAGGCCGTGGTTGAAAGCTCCTTGAGACTATCAAGTAGACTTGAGTTAAGATATTTTCGTCAAGACCCAAATTAGTAAAATAAACCGTTTTCCTTAAACCAGGACTATTGCAGACCTTTTTGAAAGCAACAACACAGTGAAGTAGCGAGAGGCACAGTGAGGCGATTCTGCATTGATGCACTCAAAGCCACACGGCGTCAGGGACTACAACAGTGTGCTGGTCTGTTGTTCAGAGCAGGTGGGTGTTCTGTGTGCTCTCATGGGCACGTCAGTTGTTGTAGGAGGTTGAATCTGTAGCCGAAGCTGTCCTTGTGATGTATCTGCAGGAGGACTAACTGAATTTATTTTCTTTTTTGTTGAACCGCTGCTCAGCCTTGTGAGCGTCATGGTGCCCACAACATACCACTAAACCACTTGTGTGCTGAGTCCACAGCAGTACACAACAACAACAACAACAACAACCCTGAGCTGTTCTTTCTGTTCTTACTACTTCATCTTCGTGGTTTCAGCCAGACCTGGGCAAAATTATGTTGGAGAATTTACTTTGAAGAGTACAAAGAGTGCCTGAAAATGTGGAAAAACACTGGACTGTGTCACTACAGCATACAGTATGTTTGTGCAATTAACAACTTAGCAGGCATTGTGATACCACAGTAAACATCAATCATGTTGAACCCTGTGCAGGTTAAAACAAAAGTTAAGGATTACTTACAACTGTTATTGAGCCCAGGTATGGTTTCAGCTGTTTAACATTTCTCTGTACCTCTGTTTTGTAATGCTGAAGATGCTGCTCACCTGGACATGTGAACGTGCTCTAGAGCCTAGTTAAGGTAAAAGGTGAAAGGTCAACCTGATCTTGGAAAGGGAAGCAGTTTTCATCAATTGGTTTGACTCAACAGTTGCATTCTAAAAGATACAAACTGATGAAAGGCTACAAATATTCAGTGTTGTGAAAACATGCTAAATAAAGATGACTGCTTTTTTCCAACGCTTTGCCTTTTAATCGTGATTTTAGTCCACAGATCCTTTTGGTGTCATGACAGTGAATTTCACTTATGGTCAGCTGTATATAATTAATCCAAGTCCAATGTAGCTTTGATCAGGGACTAGGGCTGGGCAATAAAACTGATTATTACCGCAATATAATTTCCCTCAATATCAATATAATAAATGTTTAATATATCGTCAAATATTTGGTTTAATTCATTTGAATCACAGACAAATTAGCACTTAATTTTTCTATAAGAATATTTATTTTGTTGAGGAAAAGGGACTGAAAAAATGATAAAAAAGTGATAATATTTTTGGCTATCTCGCCCAGCCCTACCAGGGACACAGATTTACCCCCTCACACTATTACTGTCATTAAATTCTTCCTGCTGAACACACTCAAATATTTGCATCAGCTGGACTAGGCAACATTGGAAAAACGAGCAAGAGACAGGTAGATTTTAAAAGGATCCAACTATAAAAAGCCTGTCCTTATTAATGTCCTGCGACAGCCACAGATACCGTTTTTTATTTTTGTGTCAGAGAAAATATAACACAAAATTTAAACGTGTATCTCGCAAAGAAGCTAGCCTTTTCAGACCGCTTTCACTTGTTTTTTGCTTTAATAACGCCAAGCTAGCGGTTCTGTGAGGCTGCACAGCAGTGCTTAAGGCTACATGCTAACTTAAGAATGGCTAACATAACAATGTTAACATGCTGACAGGTAGCAGGTAATGTTTACCACGCTCACCATCTTAGCATGTTAGCACCAAAATGTATGCTAAGCACCACTAAACACAAAGTGCAACTGAGGCTGATGGGCATGTCATTAGGTTTGCAGGTATTTGGTCAAAATCAAATTAAAACTTTGACCTGATGATGGTGCTAGAAGTCAGGGGGTTACTTGAATTATCACAATCCATCCTAAGGGCGACCAAGGTTATCTGTACCACATTACATAGTGGTCCGCCCAGAAGAGATTTTTCAACCTGAACCAAAATCAGCAGGACAAAATTGTGTGCCAATCCAACTAGTAGATGTTCCAGTATTAACAGTGCATAAGTGAAAACTGACCTGCTTGTGGCACTACATAAAAAGATTAGTAAAGTCATCCGATTTCGTTCCCTTTTAATCTGTTTCAGTCTGGAACGACATGGTGGGCCAACAAAGTAAAACTACAATAAAGCCACACTATAATGACTAAAAAGTAACTGCGCACTTTTCGTCTACCTTGAAAACAGAATCGGCCCCTGAATGTGGGGGCAAGGTTGGTGGCGGCTGTTATTGACACTTAAAGCAAAGAAAGTGGGTAGTTTGCACATCCAGGATAAAAGCAGCACACAAAGGAAAGGTAGACCTCACACCTGCAAGCTCCCAAAGATTTAGTGATGCAACGTTTCGCCCACCAAGGTCTTAAGGAAAACAGATTAACTTAACAGCTACATAAAGTTTAATATTAATCAACAGTTGACTTATATTCCCCTATATTAATAGTCTCATAATTGTTGTTAACCTAAATTTTACTTACTCAGTTGATTCACTGTTGGTGTGTTTATGCCACAGATCCTGACAGATCTTTCTTGAATAGACGGTAAAAAGTAACTCTGGCACGAAATGACAACTGATTATGACCCAGCCCTGAGAGAAAAGCGATGTCTTGCGGTTTCATGCTCAAATCGATGTACAGCAAATAATGTAAACTGTGACGTGAATAGTAAAACCATTCTTGCAACATTTATTATGAACTTTTGAAAATCATTTTACAACTGAGCATTTTTGCAGGTCATCAGCAGAAACTTCTTGTGTGTTGACTTTATATCTGTTTATTTCAAACAGTTCTTAAAAAAACACACAGATCCAGCAAATATTTGTTCTGGCAATAGTGTTGCATTTAAAGGACAAGTAAACAAGACTGAGCATCTGACCAAGCATTATGTACCCTACTGCAGTACCGAACAATTTTCCGATATTCTGTTGCCACTCTTAAAACATGGAGGCAACCTTACTATTTTACCAGATATTGGAATTATGAACGGAGACAGCCACTGTCCAGCTGCTGGTCATCTGCCATATGGTGTGTACCTTTGGGATGACCTCAGAAGTAACATCCTGAAGGGGAAGACTCCCTAAGCCCGTAGTAGCAGTAGTAGCTCTACTCATCATCGTCTATTCTTAGGGTCCTCACCTGGTTTGACATATTAGTGAGTCGTTGCTTGAGTTTCCGCTGGGAGGATTCATACTGGGCTGAAAGCTTCCGAAATTTGGCCATCATGACCTCCAAACTTTCTTCAATTTTGTCGACTTTTTCCTCCAAGTCTTTGGCGTCAACAGCAGCGACCAGCGACTCATCTATGAGATTGTCTTTCATCAGGATGGACCTTCCCTTCTCCTCCAGCATATATTTAGCATCAGGATACTCCGTGAGTGCCTCCATCAGATCGTCTTTGGACAGGGCAAACAGATCAGAGTAGCCCACACTCCGTATGTTGGCTGTTCTTCGGTTTCCCGCTTTACTGCCCTTGATACCGAGGATGCTGATTTCTCCGAAATATGCCCCGTCACTGAGGACCACAAACTGGGTAACCCCATCATCTGCTACTACTGCCAACTTTCCTCCTTTGATGATGTACATTTCTCTGCCAATGTCCCCCTTCTTACAGATGTAGTCGCCAGGACTGAAAACTTGTGGCTGAAGCTTAAGCACCAACTCAACAAGCAACCCTGCTTCACAGTCTTGAAAGATGCGGACTTTTCTTAGGGTCTCCAGATGTACGTTGATGGCTATTTCAGCCTTCAGCTTGTCTGGCAGGTTCTTCAGCACCTGCTTCTCATCACATGTTTTCTCCTCTGTCCACAGGTAGTCGAACCACTTCACCACCCTCACCTCCAGCTCTTTGCTGACCTTTCGAAAATGCATGTACTGCTTTATAGAGTCAATCTTGGCCTGGAACTCTACACGTGCAGTACCCATGTTGGAAATCATAGCACCAACATTTCCTACAATCGTAGCAAAGATCAGAACTCCAGTGAGGAAGTCAACTACCACAAAAAAGTATTCAATGTCTCGGACCGGGGGCGGTGTCTCACCAATGGTGGTCAGAGTAAGAGTGGACCAGTAAAAGCAATAAATGTACTGCCTGGTCAGGCGATCAAACTGAGGTTTCGTCATGTTTGGATATACCCACGTGTCTGAGCCAAAGCCGAGAATCTTGGAGACGGCAAAGTAGAGGCAACCATTCCAGTGGATAATGATGATTATGTAAAGCACAAGATTAGCAATTCGGAAGATGTTGGGGAAATTGGTTCGAGTTTCAGTCCGGTCAAAGAACTCAAATAGTCGGGCTAACCTAAAGAGACGGTTGAACCTCCACTCTGGGTTGTTGATTCCAATTTTGAGGAAAACAATATCAGTGGGAATTAATGATATGATGTCTAATCTGAACTGGAGTGTCTTCATGTACTTTTCTTTCAGGATCTTCTCATCCCTCACAAGCAGCCCTTGCTCCAGAAAACCTGTTGACACATTACAGTTTGATCAGCATTACATGTACTCAAAGTTTCCTGTAACCACATTTCCCACCCAAGTTTCCATCACCGACCTGTCCTGGCTCTCACGAAGGTGTCAAAATAGTAGAGTACATCTGAAGTGTAGTCCAGAACCATCCACAGTGTTGTATTTGAGGACTGTAGTTCATTAAAACAAGCCCTACAGGGAAGCAGAACCATTACAAAGACTTCTGAAACAACATTAAGGTAAAGAGGAAATATAAAATGCAATGAATTCAGACCTGGCCACCAGCAATATCAGGTTGTAGAACACTGGGATGGATATCGTGCACAGCCAGTAATAGTACATATCTGTGGCAGGGTCCATGATCCATACCTCCTTGCTGAATGAGAAAAGGAGGTTTTTGTTAAAAAGCACGTTTATACTCAGTAGAGTAAGGTCATTAGTACCACTACTGAGAATCAAGTATTATATTGGTATCAGAATTGAAGAATTTTTACCGAAACTACTGTCTATGTACAGTTTGAAAAAAAGGAGTATCGTCTGGCAAGGGTTAGGGTCATTTATCTTTCCAAAATGAATGAAATGCATTTTTTTTTTTTACCATTATCACATGAGGTGAATTAATTTTTAATATATTGTATATCTGATTGTACAACGATGCAACTGAAAAGGCAATTAATGAAGGAACACAGACCAGTTGTTAAGCGGTTGATCCTACAGTGAAATTATGAACAAAACTCCTTAATTTAATTGCTAATTTTACCTCTGAAAACAGTTTGCTCTTACTTTTGTACAATTTAAGGTTTTTCACTAGACTTACAAGAACTACTTATATTTTAATCCAAACTAGAAAAATTGGGCTGTTCTAAAACTTTTGACCAGTAGTGTCAATACTTCTGCATTTGTTGCTTGATACAGGTAATCTTTGCCTGGAACTCCACACATGCAGCATTCATGTTGAAAAACATAGCACCAACAGTGATTATAGCACTTAATGGCAAAGATCAGAACTCCGGTGACGAAGTCAACTACCACAGAAAATGTGTTGAGTGTTTTGGGTGGGTGTGGTGTCTCACCAATCGCGGCCAGGGTAAAAGTTGTTTCTACAGCTAGTTTTGCCTTTAAAAGATATTTAAATATTACAGCTGTTTCCCAAAATTCTATAAAACGAAATGGAGTGAATGAATATTTTTGGCATGGGGAGTCATTTTTGAGTATTTAAGTTTTGACTAATGAACTTCAGGAAAAAGCATTCATGCAACATTTTTTATCCTTTTAAGAAAAGTCTTTGACGTGCAATCTTCAATTCAACTTTTTTTTTTTTAGCTCTGCTGCCATTAGTGGGCCCAACTTCGCAAACTCGTGTGTGGACGCACAGAACAGTATTTTAAATTGTGTGGAGATTCCGACGTTCCCAAAGATACCAAATCTGTCTGGCAGAATTTAAGGGAAATATTTATATAATTATGAACAACCTCCAGAATATTTGAAAGAAAGTTGCAGACATAGAATAATATGTGGGACTTACGGTTGCTCCTTTTTGTCATCTTTCTTGTCATCTTTCTTATCATCTTTCTTATCATCTTTCTTCTCATCTTTCTTCTCATCCGTTTTGGGGGCCGGTGTCTTGTCATCTTTTTTGCTGTAAATAACCATAAAAAGAGGCAGGTGTGTCAGTGTCAGATGGCCTGAGGGGGGCGCTGTGACATAATAAAGCCATGTTACTGTATACTGCAAATTATTTGAGAGAGAAATGAAAAAAGGAGAAACAAAAGGAATTCATAATGCAACTTGTTGGTATATTTTAAATTATGATTATCTCTGCCTGGTCAATGCAAATCAGGGAGGAATCTAAAGACATCGTCAGGACTATTTTCTCAGACGTGAGAAGAAGATTCTCCTGAGCCACAGAAGACATTATACAACTTTTATCTCTTGTGAAGTGAGCTTCACCAGTCAGTGGAGTGCAATTTAAATTACCATGCACATATTGAAACAACGGGATAAAAATGTCTTTTCAGACCATCTGAATTTATAGACCTGCTCATGATCTGATCATCAATCCAACACTTTAGTCCAAAGATTGAGCGTGAGATTACTGAACAGATTGCCATGAACATTTCCTGTTGATACATGTTGTCCCATGCCAATTAACCCTAACCATTTTGTTCCATAAAAAGGTATCTATTTTGTTTTTGTTGTAAGATTAATCCTGTTGATCTGAAATCTGCTGAGCACATTCATAAGTTAAACACTTGGCCTTTCCTTATGTATTACCCTAAAAATTATCTTTACATTTTTTGGCTCACTCACTCCTGGAAGGACTGCATGGTCAATCAGCACATGTATTCATCATGTAATTGAATTGGCTCCCAGCTCTTTACACAGTATATAAATCTACTGGAGCAGATGCAACACTATCTGTATTTGAATTAAACCTAATAGTGTGAGAGCATCCATGTATCATCTTACCCGTCATTGTTGTTGCAGTTGTTCATGTTTTGTGCGGCCAGGGTCCACCGACCATCTCTGGAAGAGGAAAACATAATTGCACACAGTTGTGACCAACATAGCAACTCAATATCATAAGCATTTCACAAAAGATTTACAGCTCACCTGCTCTTGCTCCCCGTGTTGTCCACTGTGCTCCGGCTGCTGAGGCCGAGCTCTGCGGGGCAAACGCTGCTCCGCCCAGGGTGCATCATGTTTGACAGCCTTAGAGAAGAGATCCATGTGTTCATCAACAGACACAATATTGAGGTGGTAGTTTTACACCAGCTCTGGACTCAATTTGATGTCATCCCCATCTCTATCTGCATGAATGGAGACTTTATCTCATCTGAGCCATTAGCGAGCCTCACCTGGACTGGATTGGATTCATTAAACATGATCACAGAGGCAGGAAATCGGGGAGCTATTTTATAAATGCCGAAAATTTAAGGGTTTTATTTGTCACATGTCACATTTTCATTCAATATGTGCATACTGGATCTGTCTATCTGGCTTCAGTGATCTCCGCTGAGCACAGATGGATTCCCTCATCTGGAAACCACAGTTTTAGTGGTAGAGACAGGAGTTAAACATTTAAGAGCACCTTAATGTTGAGTCACCACACCACGAGTTAGCTGAGATTGTTTACGTTAGTAAAGATGCCTCTGGACAGCGTCCCTTTGGGGTCGACTGACTGGGAGAAGACCCTGAGACAGAGCCTGGATGCATTGGAGGGAAAACAGCTCTCAGACCAGCTGGGCAGAGGATCCCTTCTGGGCTGCTTTTCACCACAACCAGGACAGAAACAAGTGACTCCAAAGTGTTTGAATCAGTTGAGACGTCTACACCTAGGCATCAGTCATTAAGTGCATGTGTACATCTGAGGTTTTATAGTAAAACAGCTAACCTATAAAGCACGTCCATTCCCCAGATAGGGTCTACAAATCTGAAGTGTTCGTCCGCTCAGTGTCTTTGAAGATTCTCAGTCATCCCGGTCTTAGTTCAGTTGGGTTAAAAATAAAGGGTAACTGGACTCGGCCGAAGATAATCGAATACGTTTATCCTCTCATCCGAGAGGCTTCTAGACAGCTTGTTGGATTTTCAGAAGCAGGGGTCCAGCAAAGTCAGAGTCTAAAAGGTTTTTCATTTTTAGGGCCCGAGCACATGTGTTTTAAAACTGAAGGGATTTTCCCCACTGCAAAGTAACCTCAATTTTGGGGGCCTAAACATACTGGAAAACTCACCAAACTTTGCACATAATTCAGACGCGGTGAAAAATTTCATATATTATGGATTTCACGCATGGGCGTAGCAAAATGGCTCGCCAGCACCCCCTACAGAGCAGCCCCACGGACAAAGTTTCACCTACATGTACGAAATTTCTGTGGTACGTGTATCATGTCCAGACGAACAAAAAGGCCTCTTCGAGCCATTGTGTAAATCAAACAGGAAGTCGGCCATTTTGGATTTAATGGTCATTTTTGGTTACACACTTTGTACTTTAACAAACTCCTCCTGGGGATTTATTCTGACAGACTTCAGATTTGTGCTGTGCAGTCTAAACCTATTGACGATTGAAAGTTGTGCAAATGGTGAATTTTCGTGGAACGGCATGCCCGTGGCGTGGCATCCAAAAATTGATGATTCGCCATTGAACAGGGAGGTATTGTAACTTCAGTCTACATGCTCACATCTGCACCAAATTTGGAATACATTATAAGAGTCCCGCCCTGAACACATCCATATACCAATATTGACTCAAAGTCATAGCGCCACCTGCTGGCAACAGGAAATGACACGTTTTACGCTGTAATGTACTACTCCTAGCAGGCCGGACATAGTTAGTAAAGCACATTGAAAGGATGCATCTCGAGCTTAAAGAACATGAGCAGTAGATGCTGTAGACAGATGATGTACACACACAGAGACAGTAAAGTTTAGCGATGTATGTCGGCTGTGTGTCTATGTAGATATCTGAGCTTGCAGCCAGAGATTCGGTGGTTCCATCATTCCCAGACCAGGAGCAAAGCACAAACCTGGTAACTACTCCAGTGGACTGGACATACTGGTTCTGATATTCACCCTCAGCTTTTGATTCAGCCATGCACTGCACATTTCACATTCAGACACTTCAGCTGGCCTACATCTCTACCAGTCAAAAGGAAGATTCATTCTGGTTTTATATACAGCTGACTGTGATGAAGTGACAGCTAACTGACGGACACTCAAACAGCTTCTGTTTGTGTTTAGTCCCATTAGCTCACCACATTTATTCCTCAGCACTGTTAACTCAAATCCTTCTCTCCCAGATTACACTGGCTAAAATTAGATTTTCAGCCTGGTGTGACTTGTTAAGCTCAGGACCTCAGTGTAGTTTTTGCTCTTGCAATCACACTGTAACATTGACAACAATCAATGTCTACTGTCTCTAAACTTAGTTTACCTGAATGTGAGTGATGATGACGAGCAGTTAAGACGGTGAGGAGAGGTCAGGGTGAGTGCTGAATGAATCCCATGTTGCTGCTTGTGTGATCGTCCTCTTCTTCTTATAAAGATCCTGCTGTGAAGGAGTTAATATCTGTTATCTGACACCAGTGACAGGAGCAAACAGCGCTTGTGTTTTACTATGGACAAGCTCTTCCTCTGCTGAGTTCTTTCTGTTCATCCCCTCTGCACCACCTCCCAACAGAGGGAGGAGGGAGGAGGAAATCATTATTTTCTATGCCTTTAAACTGAAGTACCTGAGAATCAGCCAGCGTGACTGGACAGAAAATAGATATTAGAATAGATACTAGATAATAAATCTATGTTTCTCAAAAAGTTAATGTATAAAATTAAATTAGCATTTTGTTTTTAGCAATTTGTTGGATTGTAAATGTTGCTCTATGACTTCTGATCTGACCATTCAACACCACTTTTGTCACCCTGCCAAATGCTGTGGATATACAGTAAATAAAACCAATTATATCTCAATCTCCAAAGTGTTTGTAGAGACAAAATCTCACTCTATATTGACCTGCAGAATGTCTCAGTAACAAAATAACTATACGTTTACATTTTACATTTACTCATTTGGCAGATGCTTTAATCAAAAGCAACTTCCATTTGAGGGACAACACACACGCATCAGTAAAGTGAGAGATCTACAAGTTTTCACAGTGATTTAAGTATGTAGTAACCAGATTTTTATATTCTCTTAAGAAGTGACTTGATTCATCTTATCCAAAAGAAACTGATTTGACGTGTAGGCATAGAAAGAACATGGGAAACAACAAGAAATCAGTGACAGTCCACACATGACTGACACCAATACCAATGACTGCTTATTATTTTGCTGGCATGGTTCCCAGTTTTGTTATGCAAGTTCTTCTGGGCAATTTTAACCACAGACTACGGTAACAGAGGATGCAGAATGTCATGATGCACTTGATCAAAGCCTTATAACTAAATACACTTAGCATTTATGACTGTAGATTGTGCTGGTGAATTTTTGTCACCTAATATTAAAAGGACTCAAGACAGCTGTTTAGTTTCGACTCTCGTGTTTTATTACCTTTAGAAGACAAGTTATTTCTATAATGAAGACTAATTTATGGGCAGGTCATGTTCCTGCATTGATAAATATATATTTTTTTGTTATCACTGGGTAGATGAACAGGACTGATCCACGTCTTTATTTATATCCCTTCCAGTCTGAGTAAATCCTCTTAGTGTGTGGACAGCTAAAGCGAGACATCAGACCCCACCTCCAGCTCTCAGAGAGGAGCAAGACAAAATCTCCGAGCAGCCTCAGCTAATTTCCACTCTTCGTCGTGACAGCTGGGAGCTCAGGGAACCCTTGCTGCTGTGAACACATCTTTACATTTTTACATCAGTAAAGAAAACAAAAAAAAAATAACAACACAGGACAAAGCTAAGACACAATCCTACTAACCTAAAGACACATTCCTACTAGAAAAAAGACACACATAATCACACAGAAATAAAGACACAGAAATAAGTCTTAAAACAAAAAATTAAGACCGTTTTGAAGATCCTCTGTCGTCTAGCCATTGGCCCTTGTCAAAGTCGCTCAAATCCTTGAAAAGCTTGCCCATTTTTCCTGCTTCTAACACATCAGCTTTGAGGACAACATGTTTACTTGCTGCCTAATACACAATATATCCCACCCACTGACAGGAGCCTTTATAAAAAGATAGTCATTGTAAATCACTTCGCCTGTCAGTGGTCATAATGTCAAGGGGTTCATCAGTCTGTCCTGTGATCTTCCTCAAGACCACTTCTTCTCATTTTGTCTAAAGTCAGCCAAAGAACATATAAAATCTCTGCAGTGTGCTTAAGACATACACGTCTTAGTTTAATGTGAAAATACAGATAATGGAAAGCGCTGCGCCACAAGTCTTTCTTTTGTCGTATTACTATTAATGCTGTTAATTTTGATTGTTCAGTTTAGATTAGAGAACATTTTAAAAATGTTTAAAAATTTAAAATCATAAATGAATCTTAAAAATTTACTTTATGTGCTTCATAATGATTTAAAAGCCACTGTCCACGCATATGTTATCACATGTTGGTTTTCTAGGGCTTTTAAAAAACATTCCACCAAATGGAAATGTGGAGATGTCTTGTGCATCATTTTATATACATTTCCCAAAAATGAAATATTTGGTAACTGGCTTCACACACAGGTGTTTTCTCCCATTAACTATGTCGCACCTGTTCACAGTGTAATCATTCACACATTAAATCAAACAGCTTTCTCAGTAAAAGTTTTCACAGACCGACCTCTGACCTGTTTCAACCATAAATCACATTAACATTAAAAGTGAACTTGGCGTTTACAGTGTGTGTATGTAACAAGCTGTTGATGTTGAGTGTGTGCCGGTGAGGCTGGACTGCAGACTCAGATTAGTAAATGAGATTAGAGTTAATCTCTTGATACTTCTTGGTGAGCAGACAAAGAAGAAGTGATGGATCACAATTCACGCTGATGACCACTTACCAATGTGGCTGGTGTGAAGGGACATCTGTAACAACCCAGAAACCCAAAATATCTTTTTAGTGAAACTTAGAGTACATCAAAAACTCTCAAGCCCAATGACAGGGATGAACTTTGCCTCACAGAGTGTGTTGCAAAGTGTGTGGTGCTCCGTTGTCAAACAGTTGATATTGCATGGTCATTTGTGTGCCACTGTAAGTTTAAATGCTCTTCTGG